AATCACCACGAGGCACGAAGCGTCGATTGGACACGGTATGAGCAGCAGAGGCGAAGTACATCTCATGAAGCCGTCATTAAAACGGCTTTAAACTTCATTAACATATACGTAGCTCTACTTACGTAACGATCTGCGCGCTAAACGAGGCTAACGGCGGCGGAACCATCGCCGCCACCGGCACCGTGTCGCGATAATTTATCGATCGCTCGTATCTTAAGGCTCGAAACTCCGGCGTGGATCGATGGATCGACGGCGACGCATAGCCGCGCGCACAGCTCCCCAACGGCGCATTAACCAGATTATAACGCAATTCATCTTGAGCCCGGGATCGAGCTTCTAACGCGGGTCTGACCTTCCATTAGGTGATTTGTCAATTACCAACAGGCATGTTATTAAACACGACACGGACGTACAATTTACGAGACGTTCTACAACCCGAGGTATTTCCACGACGTCGGCGGAGGAAGAAGAAACACGGGAGGGAAGGAGGAGGGGGGGAAAAGAAACGACACTCTAAACAGAAACTTCCCGCCGTCGCTCCTCGCGGAGAGGAGCGTCCTTGGCTTTGTCTCGGCAGTGTAAATACGTAGGAAGGCGGCGGACACATCGATTTACGAGCGGGCGAGACCGGCGCGGGGCTGCCGGTGGCCGCGGCGGCACCGCGGGGACTGCTCACTCGTGAGTTAGTAGGGGCGAGAGTCGAAGCCCGGCACGTCGGCGACGGAGGCCGACACGCCGTTTCGGCGTCTCCAAATAATTACGTCGCAAGCGCGTTTCAACCGCTCGACTCCACGGCCGGCCGCGGGGGCAGTCGGACAACTTTCCTGCGCTCCCGCTCAGCAGCGGGTGAGGTTTACTCGAGGATGGGATATGCGGCGTCGCTGACACACATGGAGAATATTGATGGTTAATTGAAATCTTACTCAAAGACGAGGTAATTGTATTAAGTTACGCACATCTGGTACCATTTGGAGACACATGCGTAGCGGGCACGCCACTATAATACGATTTTTTCCATCTATGCCCCTGGTAGGTATCATCTGGGAGCTTTCAAGCTTCCAATTGGATAAACATTAAATTACATTAAATAATATTGTTGGCAATGACGTCTTTAATTATTTCATGAAAAATGCCAAAGATATCACACCACAACACCTGTATTCCAATTGGATAAAACCAACAGCTGATACCCTCCAGAGGCAGAGTTGGAAAAATCGCAGTATAGTTGCTAAATTTCCTCACTCCCACCCCCTCACTATACAATATTACAGAGCATCATATTCGATTACAATGAAGATATCGACATATATCTTAAGAGACTATTAAAGGAATGAGTCGCGCCTCTTAGAGAAATTGGAGCATTCGTACACGGAGTGGGACGGTTTGACCACGTCCTCAAGAACGCCACCGCCATCAATAATCACAAGCCGCTGAAATCGTTTAAGAATCACCTCCACGAATCTTCTAAACTTGCCGGGCTCTACGCCTGCGCGCGGGGGCCCTTCCGTGCAGCGCGGGGAGGGTACGGGAGACGAGAAGGGGGGGGGCTGAAAGACAAACGAGACGCGGCGAGCGCCGGCCGCGCGCCTCCGGGCCGCTATTTCTCAGGTCGTAATAATTCTTCCTCAAAAAACCATTCCGAAACCAATTATTGAACAAGCGCCGCGCGCTCAGCGATAAATCCGCGCACCGCCTCCGCCCCGGCGCTGCCTGCGCGCGCTATTAAGCAGGCCTTTGGCGCGTCTTCAAGCGGACGCGCGAACGCCCGCTAGGCACGGCCGCAGACGCTTTTTTTTCTTCGCTCTTCATTTGTTTTCCCTGCTCGCTTCTTTGTACGCGCGCGTGTACTTCAACTTTTCGCTTTCCGTCTCGGGCAGGGTAGGTGGGAGGCGTATAAAGTACACGAGTGAGGTACCAGGGGAGTATAATGTGACGGACAACGACGTCCTCGGGGGGAAAAAAGAGATCTCGTCTTTTTTGACAGTGTGGCAGAAGATTATATCATGCTAGTAAACAATATCAGAAATAGGATTAAACTTTAATTGTGCCTTTGCAGCAGAGGCTCACTAATTTTTCTGAGGGGGGGGGAGATATAGAGTCAAGCTGACTTGATGTTTTCTTACAAAGAATTTTTCATTAATGTTTAATACAAATTTACTTTCATTTGTTGACTTACTCTTAATTTTTATAACGTATTTAATTGATATATTGAATAACTTTCGTTAGTTTTAGTAAATTAGTAATCGCTATAATAAGTACCATTGTCTTGACGTCGGAGCAGTGGGGGCTAAATCATCACCTCCTTGCTTGGGAGGGGGGAGGCATCTGCTCTTCGGTATTTGCCCTGAAGACTTTGGTATGGCACGACCGGAATGTCGCACAGGACCAGTCGCAAGCGGAGCACGACTACCGATTTGAGGGCCGGCACGAGGGCCGTTCCTGAATCTACAGTCCACGACAACCAGAAGCGAAACCCGCGGAGCACGCGTGATCTGCGCGCGACCTGATCAGCACGCGAGACCGCGATGTAACACCGGCGGCGGCGGCGCAGGGTGTTGCTCGCGCAGATGCGCTTCCGAGGCCCGCGTCCACACCGGGCGGGTCGCCGGGGGCAGAGCGGGAACGCGGGCACAGGCGCCAACAGAGCGCGCTGCCGGGGCCGCGGAGGTGCCAGCGGGTCGCGTGGCGCAAGGGGCCGAGGCGAGTCGCTGTGATGAAAGGGACGGCGACGTACAAGCGAGGCGACGACGTCTGTGGGTTGGTGAACAACATTGCGTTCGTACACTACGGGGAAGGTTTTAAGTTAGAATAATCGCTTTTCTAGCAAATCAACAACCCGGGTAGAGAGGAAGATTGACGAACATTGTGAAAGAAATAGTACGGTATTATTTTAAGCGATATATGTTGCCTGTATCTCGTAGTAATATGAAATCGCAGTGAAAATGGTGAAGGTGACGTATTTTAATTACGTAACATGCAATTAAATACGTTAATACCTACACAGGTCGTACTAGCCTCTACCATAGGCGTAATAGAGATCATAAAGTCAAGTGCGACAAGTAAACACTTGGCATAAAAAAAATTAAAAACAAAAAACTACACTTAGATAAGTCAGAAAAACAAACATCGCGAACCACTGAACGCGCTGAAGTCACCGGCGGATTCTCTCTCGGTTCAGTTCTTCCACCGCCGATTTGTTTACTATGCGCAGAGGAAACGTTTGATAGCTCTCGCTCTTAGCGAAACGCAAATGAATGAACCAGTGATTACTCATATTCTACTCCAGCCACACATGGTCATTAAAACCCTTCAGGAAGACTCTTAATTGGTGCTCGGTTCTTTCGGAGAAGGAGGGAACAGTTTGTTGTTGTTTTTTAAAAGTTTTTATCGTTCTTAATGCAGCGGCAAATGAAACAAAAGCAGTAAAATATCGAAGAGAGTACACAATATTCTCTTTCGGCTGGTTCCAGATGATCAAAGTAGTTCTCGAACTGCCCGCAAATCTCTCTTTTCAGCGCATTAAAAATGTATGTCATCCGAATGAATAGATACTGCAAACATTATTGAGAACCGTGTCTTATTGATGAAAAGGTGTATCATACAATATACGGTTTCCCATTTCATCGCAAGTAATTCAACTAATTACAACTCAAAAACAAAATTTTTATTGGTATACATTTTAATATTACGAGAAAATGTATTTTAGATTGGCCAGCGGCACATTTTAAAAATTTAAATAATAAATTGTTCAGCGTTTCCTCCGTAAATCTTTCTTAAATAAGAATGCCCACAAACAATAATAATTCCAGCCTCGTTACGAACGCCAGTTCAGAAGCCCAACGCGAATATTTCGCCGCGACAAAGACTGAAATGGAAGCACGCAGCCTGTGTGCAGATGGAAGCAGAGGTAAATGTACAGGGATTAGCGGCGCGGTCGGAGCGCAGCTCTGGCGGCGAGTAATGAAGCTTAACTCCTATTAAAAACAGTTTAGTCGCGGGCGTCAGGCGAGTGCAGCGTGTGAGGCGCGCGGTGCAGAGAGGAAGGAGGGGGGGGGGAGGGCAGCCGGTGCGCGCGACTCACGGCTAAACTTAGTCCGCTGCACCGTTCGCGGCTTGCGGTCGGCTTCTGGACGACGACGCGGTGGCGGCGGCGTTAGGGTTGGCGATGGCGGCGCAAGCGGACGAACTGGCCATGTGGTGGCGTCGGGATAGTTTACTCTCTCAGAAAATCATCATTACACAAATGCTCCAATGACCAACACAAAACATTTGCAAAAATGAAACTAGAAATAAGTTAAAGAGCAACATTACCAATCTACACTGTTACGTTTGCACAATGTTCCATTTCAAATGTTACCGCAACAGCACTTGTTTTCCGCACTAGTAGAAACAAAAGCACGCTGACAAAATCGAAACAAAAATAAGAAAAAATTTAAATGCGTTAAAGTGCACTACATAACATATTGGTAATAGTGTAGTAATTCATCATTATTTTAAATAAATAAATTTTCGAACCACATAAAACAACCACTTATATTTTTCTGCTCTAGGAGAAACGCAATTAATACTCCCCGTGACATTCGCTTTCTTGTTTTCGGTTATTATTTGGTAAATTATGTTATAATTTCTGATCGACGCGGAAACTCGTACCCGCGATCTCTTGCAGAGAAAGTGAAGGCACAACGTGACGCTACCTGCGTTGCGAAGGACCTGTTCTAAAAGCGCTCTCGGGAATCCCGCTCGAGTTCCCAAGGGATAGGCTCTCCACAGAAATAGCGCACCGGCAAAAGGAGCCTTAGCCTCATAGGGGGAAATCTTTCCCAGTGTTAGCACCTACTCCGAAAAGCTGTCGCAAATAGGCGTTAGGTATCCCCAACCGAAGTTAGGCACTCCAAAATAAAGTAACACATTACACACTGTGTACTAATATCACGTGGGTACGTACGAACACGTGAAGCCGAAAAGAACGGCCGCGCTCAGATAAAGATAGCTTGCATTACCATTGTAAGATTCCCGTTCTTCTGAAGATCCAGTATTCGTTGCATTTGGGCTAATCCATTACACACTATCTATCTTGGAAGGTGTTACACTGATTCGACTATATTACGCACTCGTTGCATCACTCACATTTTCGGCCGCACGCACTCACACGCACAGAACCACGCCGCACTGCACTTTCCGAGAGCCACGCACTCACTCGCTTCTTTGTTCGTCCTCCGCGCCCGCCGGCACACGACTAACGGACCTGACCCGTGGAGCAGGGGGCCCGGGGCCTGGGGGAGCCGGCCGCCTCTTTTCTCCCTCGCCGCCCCTCCGGGGAGGGCGCATATTACAAAAGGACCCTTGAAGCTGCTGCCCCCTAGCGGGCAACGACGCCAGCACTGCGTTCGGAACGTGGCGTGCTCCTCGGAGGCACAGCCATGTGGATCTCGCTTTTTTTAACTTTCTCGGGAATATAAACCTTTCCTAGATATTAGACGTGAGCGTACAGTATGTTGCATCTAAAATTACGTGACCTATTTTAAAAACGAATACATCTTGAAATATTTACGACATTTTATATCAATAGTTAATAATCTAACCATCTTCAAAATCGTCAAAAGTATACTTAAAGTTGTGTAGCACCATTAAACAATTTAACATAATTTTAAATAAACAGCGATATGATGAGATAATGTGTTGTAGATGCGTCAGCTACCTAAATAATACATTAGTTAAAGTTTCCTTCGTTTTACGATAGAAATAATCTAAGAAAAGTTCTCCAGACTGAAATCGGTCTCGAATCAGACTCTTTCCGAACACATTACCCGCCCGACAAGAAGTCATGACAAACAAATAACGTGCCACCGCAGCACGAGTCGAATCTTCTCAACAAGCTATTCCATATTTAGCAGGAAATGTCCCAAGAGCGCTTCACGACTCTTGCCAAGCGCGAGCCCCCCCCCCCCCCCCCCTCCCCGCCCCCTGAAAGCACGAGTTAGAACACCGCACACAGAGGAATAAAGCTTGTGAAATGAAAGCTCCGTCGTGCCGTCATGAAGATATCCATCCTTCAAATCGTACTTCGAACCTTCTAAACAGCACACACACGGACGCGCGCGCACACAACAAACAACGCGCGCTCAGAGGTAAGTAAGGAGCTAAGCCAATTTTCACCGAAACGCTTAGCGACTACGAAAGGCACACACACACATCGGATATTTGCCGAACGACCCGACAAACCGCGATAACAAATATGGCAGCTACAGGTTTTCACCGATGCTCTTTCAGAGAAGAGGGCGAGGAATGATTTAGTAGAGGATTCCAAACGACGCCACAATGAACCGGCGCGGTGACAAACAGCCGAGGACGACGTCGTCGAGACACGTCACTCTCGCCACACCTCGCGCGCTCGCAAGAACCGAAAGGGCAAAGGCGGAAGCACAAACAAGAGACGGACGGGCGGGCGGCGGGCAACGCCCTCTGCAGAGGATGGTGCGAGCAGCCACGTGTTCTATTTACTCTTGCATCACACGCATCGAAGTGTTTTATTACAACAAAGACGCAAGAATAAGCAACATTAAAAACTGTTCGATATGCATGTAAAATAAAATACGGTGAGAATTGAGTCAGATTGTACACACACACACACACACAAAGTTAGTGCCGGATGATATTTAACGAATCACAGCCAAGGATTGCAATAAAATACGAAACAGCTCAAAGCTAATACTCAAATTAACCTGTAGATTACTTTTATATCCAAACATATTAAAAAGAAAGCTGTTATCGCGAATACTGTTTTACTGCTGTTCTTCAACAATTTTCTATTAGTAATAACTCCATTGAACCCTAAATGTCTTCCCTGACGAAATCTATTCCCTCTCGTCTCATTTTTGAAATATTCTGATCGCTTAATATACGACTACATGCCACACATGTGGACAAAGTGAAAACTTCTACATTCCACCTGCCCATCGTCGCTTTAATTCCAGTTAACAAATCGAAGCGCATTAACAGCGTATTCACACAAACATATTTCCAAGAGCGCGAATAAAATATGGGCAACTTTTCTTGAAGAGGACCTGTCTGGCCGCGTCCAGAACTTCGTATCCGCGCCAACTCGAGCCCGGGCTCCAAGACTCGTTCATTTAGCACCGCGGCACGGTGTTCGCGTTTCACGTAATTAAGTGACATCCCACACGAACGAGTGAAATGGAAGGGGAAAAAAAAAGAAGAGCGGAAGGCGTTCGAACCGCGAAGACTGCGCGCGCAAACGAGTTTTTACGACGCGACAGAGGATTTAATCGTAAATAATGATCGTGTAAGACGCGATCCGGTAAAAAAAGAAGAAAAATTAAAGAATCGGACTAATGGACGTTCTAGGTGGGAAACAGCAACGGATTGCGTGATTCAAACCGGCATGATGGGATTGGCAGAGAGAAAAGGTGATATTATTTGTAGTTTTCATAAAACTACAGAGTTGACTGTTTTATATTTATCATTTTTTAAAGAAAAAAATGTTTGCAAATGCTTCAGTAGTGTTTCTTCCTGAAATTAAAAGTAGATCCTTACATTTTAAAAATTCCCTGATAATATTTTTCTCTAGATGACATAACCAGTTATAACAAGATCGTTGCTGCTACAAGCTCAAACTGAAATTTCTTGCTAGACCGTTCATCGTGAATAAATAAATAAATAAATAAAGAAGAAGAAGAAGAAGAAGAAGAAGAAGAAGAAGAAGAAGAAGAAGAAGAAGAAGAAGAAGAAGAAGAAGAAACAGTACAAGAGGACACACCAACCAACCAACCAACCAAGGTCCACGCCAACGAAAATTCACGTTTCTGTTTCAAGCCACCGTGCTGCTCGGAGGAAAGTCGGATGACGGCGATCCAACAGCGGCGCGGGTCCGCGACCACGGCGGGCTGGGCCGTCCGACCGACAGGCGACAAGTGGCTAAGCCGGGCTTTATCGCCCTCGGGAGACGATGAGCGTCAGATAAAGTCGCTATAAATTAGGCGCCGGCTTAGGCGAGCCGTCGCAATCGCCGTCGGCAGCTTTGGCGCGCGCGCTATCGCCCGCAGATTTACGCGGTGGCTGCCGGCCCCGATATACACGCCCGCCAGCGTGCGCGCGAGATGTGGATCGCCAAGGTCGCCCGCCGGAACGAGGCCGCAGCCCCGGCCAACGCCACGCATGTGGATGCAGCGCTACCTGCCGAGAAGCGGGCAACCGCACGGGAACCGATTCTCAGAGAAGCACACGGTCGGGCCCTCATTTCGAACGGCGTTTGACTATTGTCCGAATAATATTTTTGTCTACTTGACAGCTAGCCACTGGCAGGGGAGAGGGGGGTTCCATTATCCAATCCGATGACTTCAAATTCTGATTACGTCACTGCAGAGTTGCCTATACTTATTAATAAAAAAATATTAAATATGACGCGAAGCAACCGAAAATTTAAGGTCGCCGCCACTTCTTTGGTTATGCAACGTATGTGCGGTTCTCTGTCGTCTGTTGGTGTGTGCTCTTATTGTGATTTGTTTCTTGCTCCTGCTGTGTGATCTGGTGCAAGATCGGCCACCCGAGTATAGTGGCAACATCGTTCAACCCCTATCGCCATCTGCTGTGTAGACAGAAATATTAATTATTCGGGCAATAAGGACAGAAATTAGCAAAGCTAGCAATCACACGGCTTGGGACTTTAGAAAAAAAAGACTAGGTTCAGAAAGAAGGAGCTGCAGCAGTTCTGATTTTCTTAGCTCCCATAATAAAAGAAAGTGGGGCAGTAGAAGTAGAAGAAGCTGTTAACATATTAGTCAATATTGAAGCTCCGTTGATATATTCTTTAATATTGTACCTCTGTGATAAGTAATATTGTTCGTATTTATTTTCAAAACCAATAATTTGCATATTACTAAATTTTAGGTTAGTTACTAAAGTTAATAACTAGGGAGGTATGCAAGGAAAACATGAAACCGCTTCTGATAAACTGAAAATGTATGTAATATGATTGATTTCATTACGAATCAATTGCTACAACATCCAAAAATGTCAGTCCCACCAATACACGAATGATCACCTCATCTTGAAATTAACCTTTGGAAAACTTCACTAACACACATCTGCGCTAATATCTTCATGATGCCTCTACAGAAATCTTCCCTGAACCCGAAATGCTTAAGAAAACCACAGGAGAACAATCAAGCTTTCCCTGCTACTTTCAAGCCACAACACACACAAAAGCCGCAATGCATTCCTTCCAGTCATCCTGAAAGAAATAGAGAAAACCATAATCCAACGAGCACGAAAGAAAGAAACTAGTATACGCAGCAAACACAAGAAAAACACTCGAAATCTACGAAGATGCCTGTTAACATTCCGCTGTAAGCTAGCAATTACAAAGACAATGGAGGGCAGAAAAGCTTTTTTTTATTTACACAAAAGGTATTTACCTTTTTTAAGATTTACTAGTAACGTATGTTAGAAATTACATACTGGCAACTTAATTATAAACGTATGTCTTCTATACACAAGCGTGTACTACATAATATCAAGTTGAACTGATCACTTGTTTTTTATAACCTACACTCCTACAGAAATATTAGTATCGACTCTTTTACTTTAAATTCTTCGATAATATTTTTTAACAATTCAGGAAAGTAAAAAATACTAGTATACATAAAAACCTTCAACTTCGCATTAATATAAAGATTAGACGTTTGCTGACAAAAGATGCCAAAACTTTTAATAGATCATATGTGAATCCGACATTTTCTTTTTCGATACCAACATGAGAACACGGGTGAAATCAGTCTGCCTCGAAATCGAAACAATAGCCAACGGAAATTCGGCGGTATCGTCATATCCCTAGATACGATCTCCGACACCAAGCAGCCTTCGAGGCAGCCACATATCGATTGTTTCCGCGATGTGTCCCGTTGCCAAAGGCACTCCCATTGGCCACGAGGCATTCCAGCTGAAGAGGAATGAGCTGGCAACAGCGGAGGGCGACGACGGCGGCGAGGTGGCGCGCGCGGTCGCGCCGTGCGAAATGGCGAAGCAGGCGGCGCGAGGCAGGCGACAAAGAGCTCGCCCGGTGCGGGCACGCCGCGAGCAAACCCAGGGAATTCCAAATGAGCATTGTGAAAACGCAACTTTACCGGCGCTTGCGCCAACAGATTCTGTTTGTCCGTGCGCGGCGTTGTTGACTCGCGGCATTTTTTTTTCTCCAACCGCCATGAAACGTTCGTCAAACAAAGTAGGCTAAACGATTCCTCTCCTGCACCTCCGCCT